CTGATAGCTAAAGAGAGATATTTCTTTCTAATTTGGTAGTCATTCCATATACACAATACCAAATCAGAGAGATCCATCCTACTAGCTGCGGCGTACAAAAAAGTTCGTATTCTTTGCGAAATTTAGATCCAGAGATTGGTGCTTAGCAAGGGGCATGCTCGGCTGGGTTATCAGGGATTGATTGCGACTAGAATTCATTTGGGATGGAGTCGAGAGGGCTTTACTGGATTGAGCCAGGATCTCAAGCATGAGAATTTGACGGCTGAGGGAGTACTTTTTGAGATCTGAGTCGGACATATAATGCACACGTTTTTAGATAGGTGATGCGACTGACGGTCAGGGATCAGAATTTGAATTCTTGTAAGTTGTTTACGTTGACGTGTGCTTTTTACTGGGATTCCATGCTTACACTGTGCAAAAAAAAAGAATTCTATTTGTTAAAAAATATGGATGTAATGGTTGCCAGTAATCATTAATTTTCGCCCATCGTTTTGACAGCTAGTTCGACATGCATAAACCTGGGGGGGATGTGCTGTCAAATCAGCCTACTGATCATCTTGTATGAAACTGGTTCCAAACGTAAACAAACGCTCTAGGTTTCTTATGGCTTGTTTACGTTTGGAACCAGTTATGCGAGGTAGGCGACGATTGTTCGTATTTGACAGCCACCTCCCCCTTGGCAGAAACACGCAGAAACATTTACCGACACCCAAAAAACACACAAGAAACACAATCAACACAGGCACAAGGTGGCGGATTGACTTACCCCCTGGGAAGGTCCATTAATTATGTCACGCAAATTTGACCCATTTTCAACCCCCCTCCCCCTTTGTCACTTTTGTTGTATGGACATTTTTTTGTATGGCTCGTCACAGTTTCCAAGCCCCCCTCCCCCTAAACGTGTGACATAATTAATGGATGGAGACGAACCAGCCCAGGGCTGAGGGTCTCCATAATAAAGATATAAACAAATTAATGGACGATCCCAGTGGTCGGGACGTGATTATACCGCCATTAGAGATTGGAAGAAAAGGATGGTGGAGAAGGAGGAAGGAACCAACCCTAGTTATATCCGGCCTTATACGAAAACTGAGAAAAAGCGGTTCTCTAATCAATCTAGGATTGGGCGATCTTGATCGTCAGATCTTATATTTGGCTCTAGAATCGATTCACTGATTAAATCGGTACCAAAGAATTGATCTTTGGTAGATCTATCTTTTGATTTTGACGTTGGATAACGTCTTTCGGCAACATACGGGGGTACAAAATTGAAAACAGTCATTTTGGATGCGTTACGAAAAATTAAAAGATTTTGAACGATAATAACTCAACCGTCTCTCGATAGATTTACAAGATAATGGCATCAATCGATTGTTTTTTTTTAAATATGGCAGAGATTCGGCCTAATTGCCCATTTTGGTCCTATCGGACAGAAAACAGCAAATAAGTCCTTTATTTCAAAGTTAACAAGTCAATTCTAGATAGAGCTGCAATTGGGTTCTTTAAGGGTATTGCAGTAAATATTCGTAATCTGCATTAAAACTGTAACCCAAACCCAAAATTTCATCAATTTTGGTACACGGGAACTATTTTAAATAAGAACGATTACTGGTGGTGCTAGATTTCTTGGATGTGCTTTGATTCTCGAGGAATTTCTGTTTAAAGCCATTGTTTACGTTTGGTTGTTCCGCCTATTTGAATTGTTGGTCTAGAAGTCATTGTTTACAAAAGCTGTTAGGCACAGCTCTATCTAGAATTATGCATTTGGTACGATACTTTAGTTCAAAAGCTACAAAACGAAATCAATAAGAACGCGTGATTTTAATGTTTGCACCCATTATTCTCAAAAACAAGAGAAGCGCGAATCAATTTTTATTTTCATCCCATAGGCCGAAGTGAATTCAATGGCGTTTCAATGCGTTAGGCCGAATTTAGAATCCGTAGGCCGAGTTTCGGGTCAAGAAGCAGTGTTAGATTTTTAACAATATCTCAAAAATTTGTTCCTCTTATCAAATTTTACAGTACGTACGGAAAGGTCAATAAATTAAAAAGTCATCTGCAGTGAAAATATGCCATTTTGTGAAAAAAAATCCACTCGAAAAATAGATGCAAGGGCGGGTTGTGCTTAGTAGGCCCAAAATTAAATCTAAGCCCTACGCTTTTTACGTCGGTACCCCAAGAAATTCTTTCCTTTATAATATTCAATTAAAAGTTTTCAATGATGTAACAAAAAATACATATTTTATTTTTATGCTCTCGGCTTGAACAAAAGGTTTGATTGTATATCAAAAGACAAAAAGTGAAGATAAGGAGCAATGAGCACAGGATGCAGGAAATGTTGCTGTATTCGTAAATACCGGAAACGCAAATAGTGACGCCATTGTAATCCAGATAATAACGTAGGGAGCGTTGATGATGTTGACGTTATGTTCATTAAATTCACCATGTAGTCCGGAGTGAGAGTAAATCGTTTTGACGTAGGACTACGTCTGGGATTTCTATATGGGGGTACACTTTGTGAAAACTGAAAATGGAACATGTAACAAAATTATGAAAGATTTTGAACTTAATATCTCAGTTTCCCCTGAACCAATTTCAATAATTTTAACACCAATCGATCAGAAATATTTCTACGCATCTGTGAAATTTAAGACTTTATAATTTTTCAAAATGTCATGTGCAACTGTTGCTATGATAATTGAAATTATCACCGATTGCCTGCGAAAAGCGATTTCCCTAAAACATCGAAAGAAAAGATCGATTTTTTAGTAGGCAAAGAACATATCCGAAAAATCGGAAATCGGGATGCAAAAGATCAATCTTCCAAAGATTGATCGAAGATCGCCCAATCCTAAATCAATCTACAGGAAAATTTCGTGAAAACTCACAATGACTGCCTTGTAAGCTTCATAAAATCTCGCGAAATTTCCAACGCTGAACACGAAGAGGTGGGAACTAGATTTCAGTAGAGAGGCATAGAACGAGAATACACTATAAATACATGCAATTAACCATTTTATTCGAGCACTTAAAATGACGTTTACTACCACTCGAACTTTGAAATAAAACAACTATTTTCTTCTAGAACCTCTAGAAAAGTAGCCAACATTGTACGTTTCATTATAAATAGAAATTATTTGGTCCAGTTTTGTGAAATCGCTGGTAGAAAGTCACGCCAAAACTGCTTGACAAAGTGGTCAATTGAAAATAAAGCAAGGATCTCATCCAATTTACACCACCGATTATCCCATGACTGTTTCCTGGCTATTGCCAAACTAGTTCAAAGACCCACCATGATAACCAAAAAAGGATCTTTCAAGTACAAAATCACTAGAACGATTATTTTCCGAATGAACCAATGGGCAAATCTGTCCTTAACTTGGCCATTTCCATTCGTTCTCAACATTTGAAAATAGCGCGCTCGACATTTTTCAACAAATCAGTGCCAACATTTCAAAGGGGCGTAATTGCATTCGTAAACAATGGCTTTAGCCGTCGATTTCTCGCAAATAGAAGCTCACGCATGAAAATTAATGACACCAACAGGTAGAGGAATGTTTCCTCCACCAGTTAGCAATGTTAATTTGGAAGGGTGAGCTTTTATTTGCGAGAAATCGACGGCTAGTCATTGTTTACAAAAGAAATTACGCCCCTTTGAAATGTTGGCACTGAATTCACAGCACGAAAGCGGCTCTTCGAAATGACCTCTAAGACAAAGTGGTAGAAAACTGATAAAAGGTACATACCAAAACAGGAACGAACTCACCGAATGAACGATGGTTTGCCGGTGATGCAAAAACTTGAAAGACTGCACTGCCCATAATCCCATATCAGTCTCATGTGGAAAAATTACGAAGTGCGATCCCCTTGTAAATATTTGAAAAATACATAGCAAATTTATCAATAAAAAAATAAATAGTTAAAATCAGTTGCTCTGAAGCTTGCATGTTTTGTTTAAACTGTAACTTTGCCTCTGGACGATTGAATTTAAGGATGGGACTGATATGCGCTTACGAGACAAACTGACTCGATGTTGTTTTCACATTTTTCATAATCAAAGTCCTTAGTTTTATCACATAATATGAAAATAGATGCCAATATTGATAGTGGATAGCGTTGTTATCTCAATATTGACGAAAATCCATATGGGACTGATATGCGATTATAGGCAGTGCATCTCCTAATTGAACCTAAACATTTCACAACATTCCATCGGATCTTCAATCTTGTACAATCCCCCATCAATCAGAACTGTAAGGTATATAAGAGAAGTTTAAAAACGCTTATACTTTTCGAATGAAGCACTTTTAATTAATTTGAGTGTTACTGTGGGGGGGATAAAAAAGTCAGAATCTACCTATTTGGACCACTTTCATCAAATATTAAAAAAAAATAACATAATTCGTCTATCGAGTAGCCCTTGAGTTGTTATCCCCTGTTGAATTATCGAATAAATTCATAAACAATTTATTGAGATTCGAGAAAAGCATGTATTCGAGAAAATCTACAATGGACATCTTAATATTACAGGCTAAAACCAAAATTCGACTAATTTATTTCATGGTTACATTTTTACAAAAAAAAAACAAGAGTTTAGTATCTACATAAAAAGAAGCTCATTTCACTTTCATGAAACATTTTTAAGATTGATGTTACCCTTTTTATTCAATCCGAGGAAGAAACAAAAAAGTAAATAAAGGCAACGGGGTGTTGCACATAAGCATTACGTCTGGTCCCAATGTCATCAAACAGCAATCAGCCACCCCGGGCAAACGTGTGTTGGTGAGAGGGTCTATTCCATTGGATGGAAGAGGCTGAGCTGCTGGGTCGCTCCCAAAAAAAAAAACCGATCGGTGAGATGCAAATTGTACGCAAGGTTGTGTTCAATTGCAGCATAAAAATGTAAATAAGAGTACCATTCTCGAAGCTTTAGGTGAACATTATCACACTCCTGCACACCAGTTGCAAACGAATTACTAACGCAAGTCGCAGGCACTTACCTTATACGGTAGTATGCAGCTATCAGTGCTAAGATTTAGCTAGGTAAACACTAGTATCGACTTTATACGCAATTGACCGTACACGAAAGGGCACTCAACTCACTTATGAGTTTTTGATTGATACTGTCGGACTGTCATCCAGTAGAGGAACTCACTCATGCACACAGATTGGCCGCAAGAGTGCCGCATGCGTCCACACACTCGTCTCAGCTGTCGCAAACAACTGACACATGTAAACCACGATCAGCTGTTTCGGTTGTGCCTACACGCGTCTGGGAACGGATTCGTTGGTATTGGTTTGTTTACGTTTTGATGCAGCGATGTATGGGTCGCGGTGTGTGTTGTGTGGGTGCTGTCAGACGGTCGGACTGCTAGATTAAAACTGGGGTAAAATAAGAAAGGCATAACCAAATTGTTCAATAACTACCTACTTTTATATTTATGCACATCATGGAACATGGAATTTCGGATAGAACACGGCATTAATTATGGGCATTAATTTAACAAATAAATAACAGAATACTAAATTTTTAGATATGTTAAACTGCTAACAGACTTCGTCTGTCGAAACTAATTTGTTCACTTACCAAGGAATTAACAGTTTGTACTTTGTCATACATATGCGCTACAATCTAAAAATTTAGACGCAATTCCCTGTTGGTAAATTTAAATAAAACTTCTATACTTCGTATGCTCTCTTATGCCACAAACCATGGTATACAACAGTTAAGCTTAAAATCTAATCTTTTTGTATTATTAAAAACCGGTCCACTCTCAACTAATGCTACAGCAGTCAAACATACAAAACTCTGTCTGTTTACTAAATACTTAACTAGTCAACTAAGGCTAACTTACTTAGGCACCTAAGGGCATCAGCACGGGTAGTACTGCTGAAAGAGGTCGGTGAAGTTGACCATCGAAAACGACAGGACCGAACCGAGCAGCGATCCGATCTGAGTGACGGCACCTACCCAAACCAGCGATTTGCCGCCCTGGTACCGGAAGACGGTGGTGATCGAGAGGCGCACGTAGCTGACCAGGCCCACCAGGATGGTCCAGGTGGTGATCTGGAATCGGATAAGAAATTTCGTGAAATAGTTTGTGCGTATATGCTTCAAGCGATTTGCAGAATTTGTCTTAATTCTTAGACTAGCTGCTTTCCATTAGCTTCCTGGAGTACTGATACTATCATCATAAAACTCACTGTTGGATCGCACCATTGGCGCGGGCTGTGCCACTATAAACATAAGGTCTGTTCCCGTACTTGCTTTTTTGCTTTTGCTGTAAGTTGCTACAGTTTTCTGTAAGTTGCTGTAAGAAAATCATATACTGCAGAAAGTACGCTTTCTGCTGTACAGAATATTACAGAAAAGCAAGTACGGGAACAAAACTATTCTAATGGGGCAGAGCCCGGTGCCGATGCTCCAACCACTCCCTTATATACGGGAAATTTACTGAACGTTGGCGGTGTCTTGGACTTTTCTCCATGTTTCTCGTTTTATCGAGAAGCTTTGATCGCATGACTTTTCGTGGAACTGTTGTATTTCAGAAAATCAAAACCCCTCAATGGGTGCCTTAACACTGAGAACGCAATGCGACAATAATGGAGTGAGCAAAGTTACAGACAAGTCTTCTGGTAATTCCTTTGAACCTCTTATGGAAGGTCTCATATTTATTTTTATAAGAATACTCAAAACGTTCCATGATTGATTTGCATGCCTGTTTATGGCTTTGTTCTGGTTCTAATTCTCCATTTAAATATCAATTTAAAGATTTAAGACCTACGTTAACTTAAAGACCTACAACTTTCTCGTTGGAATCTTAGGCTGGGTTTAGACAAGGCAAGCCAATTTATCAACGCATTTAAATTCAACTAACTTTAAAGCGAATTGAGCTTAAATAGTAGCGTCACCATCTTAACGCCCTTCGGCGGGACTTTGTGTGGGAGCGAGCTGTCAGTTTGTTGTTGTTGTTGTTGTTCTTTATTATTGACATTTTACATCCAGCGGATGCATTCATGTCAGTTGAATTGATTTTTGTGTAGCAGTGTGTGGGTGTGTTCAGAGTGATGTGAGGGTGAGTGTTAGTGTTTAGGATACAATTCAAAATTCACTTAGCTTTCTTATCGTTTGCTCGTTTCCTGGTTCATCGTCTGCATGCTCATCTCATGGTTTACACTTCTTCTCCATAAATTTCTTCTTTACTTATTCTATATATATATTCACCATCTTCATTCTTCATGATCTTCCATATATCTTTTCCACACTATTTTTCGATTTCTCCGTTCCTTCCTTCATATTTATCTTCATTCTTCTACATCTTCATACTCATTCATGTCTTCTGTAGTACTTTCGTTTTCTGCTTCATCTTCATCCTTTTCCACTTTATCTTCTTCGATTTCCATTCAGCATCTTCTTCATGAACTCATTTGCTTGCAACATTCATCGGTAACATTCTTCCACTGCATCTTCTTCCGTTTCCTGTCCGACATCTTCTTCCATTCAGATTTCATTTTTCTTCTGCATCGCTTGCTTGTTCTTCTTCCTCCGCTTCGTTTTCTTCCTATATCCTGCATTTTCCTTTCCATTCTATCTTCGCCCTGCAAAGCTTCCGATAAAGTTTGGTTTCATGCAGAAACTTCAGCAACCGCTTCTCATAATCATCGTCGTTGCGTAACGCCGTAAAAAGGCTTGTGGAATCGATTCCGTATTTCGTCCTGGCCGCTTCAAATTTTCTGCAGTGCAGAATAATGTGACGAACGTCAACAACGGTCCCACAGCATTCACATGCTGGCGGAGCTGTTTTCTTCAGCAAAAATTCATGCGTGACCCTAGTATGACCAATGCGCAGACGAGTGAGTATGCGTTGATCGGCAGAGCTGTACTGATCGATCCACTTCTTCGTTTCCCTTTTGACCTCCTTCAGCTTCACATCTGTCAATTGTGCCCAACGTGCTTCCCATAGCTGACGAAAGACTTGGTTCATGTTCTTGATGGAATCAATTCTTGGTACGGCGACGTTGATTGGTGGACTGTTTCGTGCTTCACTGGCTAGACGGTCTGCTTCTTCGTTACCGCGAATTCCGGCATGACCAGGGATCCAACACAGTTGGATCGGCCGTCCACGTAGTAAGCGCTCGATTTCCTGGATCCACGGATGCTGCGATCTACCACTCTCTATGGCCGAAAGACAGCTGGCCGAATCAGACAGAATTATAACACATTCGGTTGATGCTCTTGCAGCGATGACGGCCGACTTGATTGCAAAGGCCTCCGCCGAAAAAACGCTACATTGTGACGGAAGCCCTATTGCTTGCTGAATGCTGCTACTAAATACACCAGCTCCAACTATGTTCTCGCATTTAGAACCATCCGTATAAATAGCCAAAGCACGGTTAAACCGGTTAGCCAGCAACTCCTGCACGATGGGACGCACTGTGTTCGGGGGGTCCCCAGCTTTCACCTTCCGTTTCACATCCCAAACAATATGCGGCTTGGGTTCATACCACTCTCGGTTGGCTAGACGTGTTCGTACAGCGATGTTTGGAAGCTCTACATCAATCGTCGCCAGGCGATCGGACGCTCGTTCCACAACTGGAAGATCGATATTCCTGGAATCCTTCTCCATCAAACGAATTGCAGCACGAATTATGGCTTGCATAATCATTAAATCGAATGGCAAAGTGCCTGCTTCAGCCATAATCGCTGGAATCGGACTGGTGACGTACGCCTCTGAGGCGAACCGGACCATCCGGTTGTAGATGGGTGCAAGAGTCTGTACCACCGAATCCTTCGCTCTACTGACGAGCCCGATACCGTAGATAAGTCGCGACGTGACGATTGCTGATCCGATACCCAACAGAGAATCGCGTTGCCCTCGCGGAAGTTTAGCCCCGATCATCTTCAAGATCCGCAGTCTAGAGTCGCACGTGTTTTTGACTACCTTGCAATGGTGTTTGAAGGACAGCGACCGGTCAAGGTTGACGCCAACAACTTTCAGTTGATTCGTCCTCGGTACAGCTGTATGGTCGATGAATATATCTTTGCTGGGTTCTCGACGGGCGTTGGGACTGCCGTAGAAAATTTTTGATTTTGTCGCGGAAATTGTGAAGCCGACGCTTTTCGCCCATTTATCGACAGCTTTCACTGCAGCCTGTAGATCTCTATACAGAGGACGCTCCTTACTCCTCCGTACCACCAGCAAAATATCGTCCGCATAGAGAAGCACGGCAACAGTATGCGGCACCAATCTGAAAATCGGCTGCATCGCTATAAGGAATAACGTGACAGACAACACTGATCCTTGGGGGACTCCGTTCTCCAATGGCATTTCACCCGATAAATGTTCTTCCACGTTCACCCGGAAAGATCTGTCGGTGAGGAAACTGTTCAGTACGTTGAACATGCGCCCACCCATCTGCCACTTACGCAGAGTACGCAAGATACCGTACCGCCAAGTGGTGTCGTACGCTTTTGACAGATCAAGCGATGCAATCAGTTCGTCCCGATTTGGCAATGACCTATCCAACTCCGCCAAGTATGTGTCGACGCCTCTCCCAGCTCTAAAGGCGTGCTGCCTCTTATCCAGTCGTCCATTCGACTCCAACTCAGTCGTCAATCTGCGGTTCACGATACGTTCGAACACCTTTGCGATGCAGTTGGTCAAAGTGATAGGTCGGAAAGCAGCAGGTCCAGATTCAGAACAGTTTGGCTTCGGAATCGGCACTATTATTCCGGTTCGCCAGCTGATAGGGTAAACGCCACTACGCCAGATTCTGTTTAGAAGCTGCAACAGCGCGATTTTGACGGATACAGGCAGACGTCGGATCATCGGATACCCTACCGAGTCAGGACCTGTAGAGACACTACGTCCTTTGTCGAGTGCCCACAGAAGCTCATCCAAGGTGAAGTCCGCGTTATATATCTCGTCGTTGTCCGGAAGAAAATCCACGCGATCAGGTTCCGCTCTTTCCTTCGCTGTTTGAAACAGTTGGGGGTAGCTTGAGGTCGCTGATCTCTCGCAGTAGTGCTCGGCCAGTTCTTCTGCTATTTCTTCCACCTTCTCCGTGTAGCCATCGGGTCGCTTGATAACCGCCTTGCTGTATTGTCGTTTGCCTCTCAGGGTGTTCATCGTCCGCCACATTTCTGCCGTTGTGCTGCTAGGTGATATTTTTCCGACAAAGTCCTCCCACGAATGTTCCTTAGCTTCCTTCACTGCCTTCTTAGCCGCTGCCTTCGCTTCCTGGAACTGCTTCAAAACATCCGCTGTGTCCGATCCTGCTATTCTGCTGCGCTTCAGTGCTCTCAGAAGTTTTCGACGCCGCTTAATCATCGTTTTCACTTCCGGGCACCACCATGGTACCGATTTGGAACCAACTCGTCCTGATGTTCGAGGAATGCTAGCGGTTGCTGCTGATAATATCCGATCTACGAACTCATCAACGCCAATCTCGTCATCCGGTTTGATGCTGCTGGAAGTCAGTCGTTCGAACAATGTCCAATCTGCTTGGTCGTAGAGCCATCTTCTTCGCTTCGTGGCGATCTGTGAGAATTCAGGTGAAGAGACGGTGATTGGAAAGTGGTCGCTGCTGTGGATATCCGGAAGTGTTCGCCAGATAAATCTGGGAGCTAGCACCTCTGAACAGATCGAAAGATCTATGGCAGAAAATGAACCGTTTGCTGGATCCACCCTGGTGTGTGATCCGTCATTCAGGATTATCAGATGCTCCGTCAGTGTCTTTTCAGCGATGTAGCGGCCAAGCGCATTCGATGCCGTAGAACCCCAGGCGGGATGGTGCGCTTTGAATTCGCCAAGTACCAACATTGGCGCGGGCAGACGCTCCAAGAAATCATTTAGTTCTGTTTGGCACTGTTGCTGGGAGTTCGGAGATATGTAGATCGACACTACCGTCATTGGCGTCGGAAGATGGATGCGAACTGCAATGGCTTGAATATCACAATTGATATCGATGCGCTCGAATGGAACCCCTTCACGGATGGCAAGGCCCACTCCTTGCTGCCAGTACCGACGTTAATTTAGTGTCAAACAGTGAAGTTATTATTTTGCT